GCAAGCTTCCCGGCAGTGCACTAGTCTTTGCCTTGGTGGCACCAGCCATTTTAGCCAACCTGGTTTTCCATTTTAGGTTGAAACCTCTTCTCACCCACACTCTGTTATTCTTCTCTGTTTTTATGTTGCGGCTTTTGAGCCAGGTCGTAACATAAAGTAAAGTAATGATACATTATTTTTTTTAAAAAAAGAAAAAAAATGACGTGCACAACTACAACTATTTAAATGCAGTTTATTGGCAAGGAGATCATCTGTAAGTCTAAAAGCAGTTGGTTTGGGTCAAGTCGAATCCATTCATCCACCCCAGTATCAAGACATCAAAGCCAATCTGCACAGAAGTGCCTGAGATGTTTTGAATCATCGTTAAACAACAAAGAAGAAGATCACTGGGTGATGGACCAATTAAAATTTGACACTATATTAAATAACACATCAGTCATGGACAATATTATCGGTAATGCCAGAATATGTCTTTGGAGTCCTGTCATGAGGGTCCATTTTTCACAGGCGTACAGAAAGGTAGACAACAGGAAGCACAGCAGGTGAATTTTGGAGCACATACAGATAATCACAGGGTGTTTAGCCAATGTAAAAGTGCAGTTTGTTGTTTTGGTTTGTGAACTTAAATTGTTTTATGTCTATATTGTATATGAGTGTAGACTTGTATATAGTTAAACATGTATATTGTGGGATGACATGTCGAACTCTGAACGTTGGAATTAGAAATAAGGTGGTAGGAACAAAAAAAGTGTAAACTTAGCTGGTGGTCTTAAATTTTGGTATTTCAGCTGCTGTCTTTACCAAAATCTCAAGTTTTAAGCCTTTATCTAATATCATGCAACCAAGATACTTGAAGGTCTTCACCATTTCCTGTCTTGTCCCACTGACTTTGAAATCTAAATTGATACCTTGGATATTGTTGGTTATGAGCTGGGGCAATGCTTTATCAAGATGTTCCAGCATCTTTTCTTGCAAGTTCATCAATATCATCTGCACAATGCAAGTTCTAGCAGATCTACCATAACAATGCACAGTCATTCAAAGCAGGGAATGGTTACCTTTGATGAAATGTCAAATAGTTTGCAGGTCCTAATTCCAAATATGATCAGATGCATTTACTAGATCTACAGCAGATCTCTGGAGTATTTAAGCTTGACATTTTAGCTACCCTACAAAATAAAACTAATGCAACCCATGTTTCATGTGCCAGGCTCAGATTAAGAGACTAATCTGGGTCACTTGAGTTTAGATTTTGACCAAGAAGAACCCCCCCAAATAACCATATTTTTTGTATAAACCAGCATATTGGACTACCTTTCAGCTTGTTGCACTAAAGAGAATGATCTTCAAATCACTGACTGTTATGGAATGTCCCTTGCCACTTCTCTCTTCTCAATAATGCAACACTTTCCTGAGCATGTGATAGATATAGAGCAGCTTTGTTATTTTTTCCTCTGAAATCCCTGTTTACCAACCTTAAATTTCCCCGGGGCCAATCTAACCTTATCTCTTCCTCATGCAGCATGCAATTATCCAGAAAAAGAAATATGAGAACTGTGGAAAATTCCATATGGCAATTCATCATCATCAGGAAGTCATGAGCTGCGTGGAGGAATTAATGAACATGTGCATGCAAATGTGGAAAGGCACGCACAAATGGACTTCCACTGACATGCATTAGAGTTACTTTAAAAATAGAGAGACTAATTAAGGCATCCCCATGATTACGTGTGATGGAACTTGCTTTTCATTTTCTGGGTGTGTCAGGGTGCAACGAGCGCTTTTTTTCTGAGGTGTGAAGAGTGAGCGGAAGTCAATGTGTCTGTGACCCCAAATGGTTATAAGGATCCAAACAGTGGTGTCCAGTCAATGCATCACATCTGTGTCAGAGACCCTTTAATATTGAAAGAACCCTGGGCACAAACACACCAAGACCAAAGCACGCAGCACCCTGGACCGCAGCTCTTTAATAGAAACTAGAAACTGCCTTCTCTCAGATACGTGGGTCTTCCCTGCAGCTTCATCGCTGGTTACAGAACAAAATCAATATGTGAGCATGTTAAATTAGCACTTGGGCTCCTTCTGCACTGTAGTAGCCGAGTGTATTTCAAAAGGAGGAAAAATTGAAGCAGCTCACTGCTGTGGGTGCGGAGTTTTCAACTGTTTCCTGCTGAGACGGTTCACTTGACCAAAATAAATGCAGTGTCAGAGCAGAGGCGCTGACAACTTGGCTTCTTCTTTAATGTTGCAATTGATGCTAAATGTTGGGTGATAAGCTGTGCATGTCAGGAAAACTGTCTTCCTACCTCTTCCCACTCAGCAGTGAAAGACGGCGTTCTCTCCAATCTCCCCTCCGGGCTGGCGCCTTCACGTGGGCTCGGACTTCCAGGGCCCTGGCCCCGTGATCCGGACCCCCAGCTGTGCTCTTCCTGTAAGAAAAAATAATAATAATAAAACCCTTTGTGCTTAATTACTGCACAAATACGAGATGCAAAACAAAAGTTGCCAAATATTTAACCTTAAAAATATGAACAACTAAAACTGAAAATAAGTCCGTTCAGTGCTCATCAAACTTTCAGCTGTAATGGCACTATTTTCATCAAACAGATTATGTATTTAGCTCATGATTTATTTACAATGAATTACAGAAGTCTCAAAAAATGTGCTGCGGCAGAGAACATTGTGACCCAGATTGATGAGTTATCCAATTGGCTGGACTGGTTTCTGCTCTGTTTATGAAGTCACATGACACAGCAAGATGCAAATTATTTTTATATAAGTGAATATTTACGATATTTGCATTTGTGCTCAGTACAACAATACTGGAGACTTCTTTGCTTGTGCAGACGTTTAAAAAGAGTGAAGTTTTACTTATGATGTCAAATGAATTCCCAGAAACACTTGATAAGAAAGACTCTTGTTAATAACTCTTATTAATCTAAATCGCAGAATTCATGTTCTTTTTAGTGCTCTGGCTGCATAGAGAATGACGCTTTTAAGGTAGCGAGAACTTACCTGTATGGGAGACACTGCCACTAGGTTAGAATCAGACTTGGAAAGAGATTTCGAAAGCTGCAGGTCCAACACACTGCGTGGCATGGACCTCATCCTCCCAAGGGTGCAAGCCCTTTCCTCGTAGCCAATCCCAGGTGAACTGTCTTTGGATGTCGCTCCTGTCTGGCTTCCCCGTAAATCTGCAACTTCTCCGTTTTGACCAGAGGAACAAGAGGGTGGGTGGCTCAGGGTAGACCATCCACGAGGCAGATCTACCTGTTCACAGTTTCTGGGTTGGGCCTGGTCCTGGTTGACCTTGGTGTGGAAGATAGTCCGGTACACAACCTGTGGCTTTCGAGTGTCGTTGGCTAAGCTCTGAGAGTATGACTCACTCCCTGGCCGGGAGAAGACCTGACTGGCTCCTCCGCCGATCACAATGCTGAACTCCGGGGTCTGCAGAAAGTTGCTCTGGACATCTGTATTTTTAAAGGATTTGGGGCTGTAAAGGTGGTAAGGTGTATCGGGGGGTTCACAGGCTGGAGAAGATCCATGAAGCAGGCCTGCAAACTCCTCTGGGATGTGGCTCTTCCTGTGGTCCTGTGACAGAGCGTTTGATTTGGAGGACAAGCAGGGAGGAGGAGGAGGAGTCGGGTCTCGCTGATAAGGGATGTCGTCTGCAGACAGGACACATGCACAAAAAAATTTGATTACCATTAACTCAAATTAACCTAAGCATATGCATTGTATTTGAGTCAAATGCCAAAACAATAATACAAATGAATGAATTTATTCCAAGAATACAAGACAGCAAGTATAGAATAAAGGACTCATTAAATAACAGAAAGAGAAAGAAAAGTAAAAACTACACAAGCTGCAAACAGGAAGATAAGAACAGGGTAATGCATCTTCTGCTTCCCTTGTAGAAGACTGTTTGTTTCTCAGAGGAGTAAAAGGGCTCCAGACTTGCATTGTGCACCTCTGCGCCTTCACTGTGTGGGTGCAAATGGCATGCTTGTGCATCTGAACTTACATGTATGCATGAACTCGTCCAGACAGATATTCTCAGCCCATCGATGTGGTTTGAGTATTTTTATTTTATTTTAAAGTGTCAGGGGATGCTTTTAGACGTCCACTCACTCTGTCTGTGTGCAGCAGTTGGAAAGCTGCTTCTGACTCTTTATGTGTGTGTGTGTGTGTGTGTTTGTGTGCGCACGCGTTCTATGTATACTTGACTATTATTGTATCAGTGAATGCTTATAATTACATCTCCATTAGTTACAACTTAAGTCGTGTATGTTTACATGTTCTTTAAAAAGATACGCTCATTAGGAAAAATGTAATTTCACCATAACTGCCACATTCTCAGACTCATGACAAATCTTACACTAAATATGAGAGTGTAGTAAAGGAGAGGCTTAGAATCAAACAAAAACTAGTTAGTTAATTTCTCAGGTTAGAAAGGAGCTGCTCCGCCCCTGCACTGACTTTACTATTAATACCGAGGAACTATAATCCATCTTTCATGTTTTTACACCCACTGTGAAAATAACAGACTTTGACATCCACCAAGCATCTGACTGGCAATTACTTCATTACTGCAAATGCAGTAAAAGCATACCTGTATACAAAAACACACACATAACACAATCAGTCATGGACTGGCCTCCATAGAGCCCAGACCTCAACATTACTGAAACAGTGTGGGATCATCTTTACAGGGAATGAAACAAAAAACAGTCAACATCCAAGGAAGAGCTTTGAATGTCTGAAGGACTATTCCTGAAGACTGCTTAAAGAAATGACAAGAAAGCTGCCTAAGTAAGTTCGGGCTGTGTTGATGAATAAAGTCATACCAAATACTGACTTTCAAGCTCATTAGAATTGTACAGATTCTGTTTTCCCCTTATAAACTGTATCACTTATGTACTTTTATGCTACACCTATTTCCCATTTTTTGAGGGGAAAAAACCCAATAAAAACAACTGATTTCACTGCTTTGCATCCAAGGCAGGTTTCTAAAATCAGATTTCATTTTCCATTCATTTCCTGATTAAACTATAATACTGGTAAGAAAAAGGGTTTATTTCTTGTGTTAGTCGAGCCCCGACCCTCCTTTCGCTCCCTTATCGGTCACTTTGTGTTAAGATTGTGCACCAGGCCAAGGAAACAGTCTGACCATTGATTGATGAAGTATTTTTTTTCCTCACACATAAACACACACACCTAATAACTCTTAACAGTCAAATACAGTTGTTTGAACAAATAGAAAAATTTTACACTCTTGTAATCAAAACTGTCACTGGAATAATAGCATGTACCCTCACCGGCCCACACACACTGAATTTACAATCATTTGACTGCATACCCCCGCTGCCAGCCACATCCTCGACCCACACAAACAGACAGTCAATGTCTTGGTTTGTCAGCCAGTTTTTGCAAGCATTCTCTGACTGCCTTCTGCACAACAAGCCACACATCAATATGCAACAACTGCATAATGGGAGAAGAGAAAGAAAGAGAAAGAAAAGAAAGCGGAAAGAAAGCATAAAGTTGCCAACTAAAATTGCTCACTATGATTGAAACAGGAGATGATTCAGTTCTTCTAAAAACATTATTAATGGGGCCCCTCAAACACAGACATGTTGACTGCACCGCAAAACACACCCATCCACATTTCAGGTAATGAGGGATGAAACCATGACTCATCCTTGAGTATTGCATCTACTGAAAATGTCATTATTTCTTACACAACTGAAAGCATTTCGGATTATTAAGCCCCATCATTTTTCAGGATAAATGGGACAAAGCAGCCAAAAGATTAGTAATCCCCCTGACCTCTGATCTTAATATTTCTCTCTCATTGTCCACAGTGTGTTACTTTGATCGAGCAGAAGCATCCATAAGAAGACATACTTTGAATGGTCTTTCTGAGGGAGGCTCCAAAAGCGAGTCATTCCCCATAGGCCTAGCCATCTCTTATCACTATCTCACACACAGCGAATGCTTACAACATAAAACATAAATGCATCTATTTTAAATTATGTGTCAGAATATTCACATGAGATGCGGTAACTGAATTGGCCCTTAAAAGGCATCATTAAGATCATTCTCCCCTCGCTTTTCTTTCTGTACGTGCCTTTCTCAACCCTGTTATGAATTTCTTTTGCTCCCTTCACTTCCCCTCTTTGTAATAAAAATGAAAAAGTTGGCAACAGGTGAGTCTACCCGTAACTATGGCAACAGCGAGCGCCAGCATCTCTCGCAGTCATCGGGCAGCTGAGTGCCTTTGACCTCCAGGAGAACGAGGGGAAAAGTGTACAGTGGATAAACACGGCAATCAAATCGGCAAGTTGTTTATCGAGACAGAAAACAAACAAAATAACAAAACAAAAGCCGAGCAGATTTTTGATTTAAAGAAAAAAAACAGAAGAAAAGTTCTATAAAAAAGTATAAATAGACCAATACGTCTAACAGGCAGCTAACTATGCTTTTCTTTCTTCTTCTTCCCCTGCAAACAATCGATAGATTCCCCCTCTGAGTTGTTTTCACCTTCATTACTTATCCATTCCTGAGTGTCCAGTCTTCACTCACCATCCTCAGTGTCTTTGAGTAAGGCTGTGTGTGTCCGTGTGTGCGTTTCTTACCTGGAGATCCAAGGCTAGTTTCAGCTCTAACTAAAGAGCCGTCAAACTGTGTGCACCCTGCCCTCGCTTAAGTACAGCCAATATCTAGGAATCGCACAACAGCTGCATCACTGCATACCTGCTTTTTATTGCGACACTAGTATGAAAACACACAAATACACACAAGTTGTGGCATGCAACGGGACAGCCCAGGAACTAATCTTCAACTGAAAGCAAACAGCAGCAGCAATGTAAATGTTTGTGCAATAAATACAGATTTGTCATAATTAGAACTAAATGCCAACTGTAAAGGCGGCTGCTGACCGACTTTTAAACACTAAAAGTCTTCACTTGTGCACGTCCTTCTATTTTTCCATAGAGAATAAGCAAAAAATAGAGAGGGAGAGAAATAGAGCTGTATTTACTGTATGTAGTGTACGTTACGTAAATGCTCCTGCTGTTTCTACTACTTTTCATTTATCGGAGTTCTTTAGTGTTATAGCTGCCCAGCACATCCTACAGGTTGTAGATCAATTCAACACACTATTCTTATTCAAAAGAGGTATTGAGTGTATTATGTATTAGGACTGAGAAGTGACTAAATTAAGCTTAATGTAAAATGTCAATATACACACTAAATGTTCAAGATAGCTGGGAGAGAATCCAAATAAATTCATTATAGATTTTTATAGCCAACAAATCAGCAGAAAATGTTAAATTTGTCAACGTCTGGTAAGGAGAAGGCTGGAGTAGATCAACAAAACACTGGAACAAGGGAATTAGCTTTCCTGCTCCAGGCAGACAACAATATTATTGTTG